AAGAAGAAAAGAGCTGGGTAGCTGCCAATTTTTCTCAATTTATTATAGAAAAGCACTCCTGAGCTACAAGTTCAAGTCCAGATGAGTCCATTTGTGAGGCTCAATGCCTGTCCTGTAAAATCACAGCAGTCTTTGACCACCAAAGAGGATGCCATTGAACTAATGGGGTTTGGTGAGAGCAAATCCAGGACCTGCAGGAGGAGGCAGGTGTACTTCAAAGAGCAAGATTTTCTGCAGGTTGGCTCAATGGTCTCGTTTTAGTGAAACGAACCAATTATGTTTTGGGCTGTTCTCTTCATTTTTATGAATGAACAAGAAATTGCCATGGTCAATTCAAAAAAATAAATCTGAATTATGCAGGTACAGAATTAGCTCCTTGTCTCATTCAGTATGCTTCCCTGAAACACCTGAATAAGCAAACCATTTGTCCATAAGATATCTGAAGGAGACTGGCAATAGCTCCCAAGTGATTCTTTACCAAATTGGAAGCAGTAAAATTAAAAATGAATTAAACAGAAGAGTGGGGGTGGGGGCCTCTGTAACTTATCGTGCTTAAATATGCTTAACTTCAAAAAGTACATAAATCAGACTTTAAAATTAAAAATAATTTATTATTAAGTCAAATTAAGTTGTTTTCGCAATAAAATCCCAAAACAATCCACCTTAAAGATTTTGTTTGAAATAGAAACTACAGCTGTAGTCTCCTTCTTGACTTAGATATTACTAGTGATTGTTTTAAAGGCTATGCAATAACACGATGTATAGTGGTATTCAGAAACTTAGTGATTAGACAAATCCACCTTAGTTCCTTAATTTCCAATGTGAGCAATGACAAAATCAAATTTATAAGCAATTAAAAATATCGGGAAGAGGGAAGTTTTAAGTCAGAATTAAAGTAGCATAGATCTGTAACTTGATGTATCAAACATCAAGATCTTGATTCCCTTCAGATAAAAGTCATGCAGTAGAACTGAGTTGCTCAAAATAATAATAATAAAAAAAATGAACCTTGGAAACCTTCATAGTGATTATAAAAAAAAAAAAAAAAAAGCTGAAATGGGAACACATACATCTTCCTTTCCCACCTAAAAGATCCATTCTAAGAAAGATCACAAAGAAACAAAAACAATGAAGTTAGCAGCACCAACCAGGTGTTATTGTGGTTTTGTTACTGAGCTGCAACGGTAGCTGGAGTTTCCTGCACTAAGTCTGCTGCTTCCCTCTCCCCCAACCCCCCCACCTTTTCCCACCCCCCACTCACCTCCACCCCTCCCCACCCCCCTGCATCGGAAGAGATGTGTTTCTTCAGAGGTGTTAAACATTTGGGCTGCATAAGGGACAAACGGAAGGCTGACACCTAAGATGAATAACCTCAGTGTATTAAAGGAATGGCAACTTTCACTATGCTGCAGCCAGCCAGACTCACACCCCACCCTGTGTTAAGGCACACAAGTGCCAGGACTGGACCGAGGATGTAAACAATTATTTTTCCTTTAATACTTTACCATTGACCTACAGGGATTTTCATAAATAAGGTTCAAAACAAGAAAGGTCTGGGAGTACGCTTTTAATAAACTCCCCAGGGTTCCTGTTCTGAAATATTTAACAGGCTCCTGAATCATCTGCCCACTGTCTGTGAAGAGGATCCACTCAAGGCAACTCTGCTTTACAAACTCACACTGACATCAATGTGTTATAGGTGCTTTCTTCTTAGGCCCAACTTAACTGAACTAAGAATTCCTATTCAACATTCTCTGAGAGATCCATCCATATGATTTTTGATATAGGCACTCACACCTCTAAGAATCCTAATACTAGAAGGATGCAAACTGCCCACTGAAATGTCCCTTTTGATATGGACGGATATCAATGGTGTTATCTATCTCTTGAGTAGATAATAGGTACTTAGGTCATAGATAAAAGCCGTACAAGCATATGTATGCCAGTGTTTGTCTTACAAAACGAGAAAAATCAAATACAATTGTGCAAATAAGCTTTCAACAGAAACATTTCTGGCTCCCATTGGCCCAAATTGGTGTTTTCTGTATTATCTACAGGTACCTACAAATGGTAGGCTCCAGGTTTCCCAGTCCTAATGTCTTTGGGCAACAGATGCAGAAAACAACAGCTGTTTTGTAATGCAAATTCAAGTAACTGGCTTGCCTCCAGAAAGCTCAACCCTAAACCCAGAGGCAAATGGCCACCCTGCTCCTGACACCCTGAAAGAGAACCTATCACTGTAGATGTCAGTAACACAAACACTCAAGTCTTGCAGAAGACAAGAATTAGAGAGCAGGAAGGCACAAGTGTGGTTAGGGGTGAAGAAGAGAGGCTGCCTTCCGGTTAAAGTGTTTTTGATCTCAGACACATTAAAAACAGCTGTTACATATTAAAAACCAAAGATTGCAACTCACTTGGGTTGGACCTTAAAAAAAATTCTAACATTCCCTTGTGGTTAAAGCTGAAAAGCTTCTGGAATTGTGCAAACTAGATTACAAGAAAACGGTGTCTAAAATAAATATAGTCTAAAATGCAAGCGAATAAAGCAAAGCAGCAGATAACAGGATAAAGCAACTTTCTTAGCCACACCCCTTTCTTCAGCTCTACACCCACCCACACTGATCCTGGCCACAAATCTTTCCTAAATACTAAATGACTCTTCAATTCACTGATCTCAAAATTTTAATTCATAGACTAACAATAAATACCTTCCATTACTATAAAAATTTCAAAATTAGTGTTCTTTCAGGCAGACGTAAGAGTTGACATAACATAAGGCTGAATGCTAATTTAAAGAGCAAATGAATATTCAGTGTCAATAAATATTCAAAAAAATATCCATATTATTATACACTGACTTTAATACACAAGTATAACATTATAGCAATCTGAAGGAAAATGTGGCTTATCTAAGGAATAAATTCCACAAATACTTCCTTAAGCATTAAATGTGTGTACAGCCAAAAGGTATAAGATTATTTCAGTGGCTATTTTCTATTGCTACCAAGTCAGGGATTATATTTTATTTGTCATTAAGACTATGTGTTCTTCCCACTAAGTCCAGGATGATTCTAACACTGAAATAAGTATCTTCAGTTACTACTTACCTAAAACATTCTCTCCCCACTCCCCCAAAAAAAACACAAAACAAAAAGCAAAACCAGGAAAGTTATCCAACCATAAAAGAAATATCTTATGCATTTGCATTTATATAGTTCAACAAATACAGAAGCATCTACAAATTTTAAAACCAAGAGGCACTTATTTAGGGGTGATTTCTATATTAAAATGTTGTTGTTGTTGTTGTTAACTGCTGTTGAGTTGGTTCCCACTCATAGCACTCATGTATCAGGTTTCCAAGGAGCAGCTGGTGAGTTTGAACCACTGACCTTACGGTTCAAACCAAACTTGCAGTCCAGTTTTTTATCCCACATCACCACACCAGGACTTGATTTTAATTCATTCACTTTTATATAGGAGAGTCTGTGTACTATACAAACATTCTATCACTACACTAAATATTTGAAAATCCTTTTAAAATAAAATGTGAAATGTCTATCTCTTATAAGAATCAACAGAAAGTCTCCAGATCAATTTTATCTGCTCTAAGAAAATTCCAAATATCATATTTTCTACCTGAAAGGTCCAATATCTTTTTGAAATTTATAGAAAGATAATGGCAGTAATGTCTACATCATAGTGGCCATACAAAGTGGTTATATACCTATCATTTCGACAATTGAGGGCTATGGATAATCAAGATAACCACAAGTATTGTTTGTTGGTACTGTTGATTATGATCCGCTAGTTTAGAGGATATTCTTGCTCTCACCATGGTATCAACAATTTCCTTCAGATGTTGTGACTGATATTTTCAGTTGGTCGAAAAAATGAGTGAATAGGATAAGAACAAGACAAAATCATCAGCTCTATTTTACGATGGAGGATTTGTTCCTCAGGAGAGTCAGTCAGACTGAAATCCTAATTAATGCCTAAGATCTACCCACATGTGGTTTTGATCCAGGGGTGGATGGTGGAGGAAGAGTGAGGCTGGAAAGAAGGTAAATATATGTATTTGTTGTTGTTGTTAAGTGCCGTCAAGTCAATTCCGACCTATAGCGACCCTGTATAGGGTTTCCAAGGAGCAGCTGGTGAGCTTGAACCACCGACCTTGCAATTCAAATGACTTGCAGTCTGACTCTTTAGCCCACAATGCCACACCAGGACTCCATAAATATATGTATGGGTTAGTAAAAATCCGTAATTACCACTGAAGAGACAATTCTCAGGCCCCAGGGAGAACAACTCAAACACCAGCATATTTCACACATTACACTCCTTTCCCTTCAGATGTTTCCTTACTATATCAATGAGGTATATCATCAAGTAGCATACCTGAAGTTCTAATGAGTTACATTTTTAAAACCTCAAAAATTCATGAAAACAGCAGAAAAAAAAGGAATGATTTTCATTAGAGGTGAAGCTTCAACAATTTAAAGTAAAAATAGCTCACTCACCCTTCCCCCAACAAATAAATATAATCTTATACACAAGACATTGTTTTAAAAGTCTTTAGTTAAAAACCTAAGGTAGTTTAACTATTTCTCTAAATCTGACTGTAGGTAGCTGATGGAGAGTGAAAGCTCTCCCTTACTTGGCTAACTGGAAGATTAAATCATTTTTCCCTCTCATCTACATAAAAAAAGTACAATAGTCTTAAAATTATGTATTTGTTGAAATAACTTCATTTGATTTCATGATACCTCATAATCTGTTATTTATTAATCCTAACCAATATGCCAAAAGCTAAAATTCCAAGTACAAGACATCAAAGGTAGTACTATTTTGAGGCAGCCATTCATCATAACGGCTCTTATTAAGCAATGATTGGGCATATATAATGAAAGCATTTCCAATGTGTTTGAAAAAATAAACCGTCTGCCAAAATACAAATTAATTTACACTTCTGAAATAATTTGCAACATCAGCATGTTACTCACTGTTCTCGGGATAGGCGGAGAAAGAGATCCATTTGACATGTATGGGTCGTTATTCATATTTGGCATCATTATGTACCCGGAATAACCCGAGTAGGAGGGTCCTTTGCTGTAGAGGTCTCCATCTGGATGCTTTCCTGAGAGAGTCCAAAGAAAATTATGAATATGTTGGATATATTAACTTCCCTCTCTCTATCACTGTAGTTTTTCATCTGAAAATCTAATCGTTCTAAGAAAAACAGACCATACAGAAATGATTTGTTTACAAAACATTGTAACTGAATTATCATGATCTATTTTAGATTGACAGTATTTATTCTCTTAAATGGCTTAGCAGTGAACCAGATGTTTTAAAAACATGTGGTTTAATTTACATCCACTACTGACTGGTGTTTTTACAAAAATAAGTGTTACCCATCTAACTTAATTTGTTCTAATACTAACACAGACTGGACTAAGAAATACAGGCACATGAAAGAACAAACACAAGCCTAGAGCTATAAGATAAATATATTAGATTGGCTATCTGCACACACACATACATACACACATACTTAATACTTCAACTTATAGACACACTAAAAAAAAAAAAAAAAAAAATTGACCTCTATCTTTCAGATTTCTGAAAGAGCTATGTTAGTGAGAAAGAGTAGGACCTAATATTTGGGCAACTACCCAGATTTAAGAACAATTAACTCTAGGAGGCTTAATTTTATGTGCTACACTTATATCATTTTGTCAAAGTAATTTACGTGTGTTCAATATATAGATTTCTTCTTTTAAATCTGTGTAACTATTTGTAGCTGAGAAGGAAGACTGCTATTACAGCTCTCTTCACTTCTCCTGACTGACATTGTATATATGAACACTTCATTCTGGTCAGGCCAATTTAAAATAATTAAAGGAGAACAGAAATGCAGACTGGTCAAGAAGGAAATCCTTACAAAAACACTTGGTTCCACATAAAATTCTCCTGCCATCTCAAAAAATATGCCATGTAAAAAAGTTTTGAGCTGAAACAAAAAATGAGAGACAGTCTGGTTATAATGCTTGATACGTCTATTTCCTAATTATAAGAATAAAACTATATGTTTACAAGTTAGGTTCTGCCTTGTGTAGTCTGTGCATTCACTGTCTTCCCTCTCATAATTACAACTGTGTAAACGAAAACCCATTCAAAACTATTCTTGTTTTAAAATAAACTGGAAAACAAATTGATGCAGACTGTAATCTTTCTTAAAAATACACGGAAACCATCCTAAAGATCTAAGCGATTTCAAACTTTAGGTAAATAAGAAAAAAAAAAAAATCATTAAAACATTTCCTCTTCTCCAAATAATCTGGAAACCAACTGAAATTCAAGACTCTCAACGTATTCAAAGACATTTTTTGCTAATGATATAATATACATTACAGATAACCAATACATTTCCTGGGTTTTATTTCCAATTTTCTTAAAACAGTAAGCACAGTTTCATCGCATCTGGTATCTGTTTCTTTAACTCAATGAAAAGTAGAAACCACATTTATGTACAGAAGTTATTTACCTTAAATGATAAAGTTCACAGAAGTAGAATTCATCATCAGTCTTACCTTCATCAGGGTGTTCTCTGGCCTTGTCGTGGTAGGACTCCTGAGAGGTTTGAGCTTGTCTGGTCACCTAACAGCATGAATCCCAACCCCCAAAAAGAAAGAAAATCACCTTAGAGTTTCTGACAATAATAATACATGTGTCCAATGATAACTCAAAGGAGGAAGCTTAGGTGTACCCCAATCCACCTACTTTATTAACCTAAGATGGGTAGGAGGTTGGGGTTGAACGGTAGGGAATCTTTTCCCTTTTTTATTCAACTTGTATTTTTGAGTGAGTATTATCTACCCAGGATTTAAAAATTTAAAAAAACCAACATTAACAAAATAGTAAATTTGGGGGGGTGAGCCACACATAGTCCTGGTTGCTGTTTCCTAAAACACTTCCAGAAGACTACTTGGATGCTTAATATGATAAGAGTCAGAGTTAATAGGGTTGATTTTCTAACAGCCACCTTCAGTTGCTGTTTGCTTCAGTCAGAGCGTATTTAAAAGGGGGTGAAATAGCATTTTGCAACTGAAAACGACACTTTAAACATAAGCAAGCCCACTACTCACAGATGGGACCCTAAAGCCATTTCCCTCATTGTTATCCTGGTAGGAACTCCACTCTAGTTCCCCACCTACCATGGCTGGGTGTGTGCAAGCTTACAAAAGAAACAGCACAACTGTTTTGTGGTTAAAAGGAGGAAAATTAGACTGTCAAATTACAGACATCTAAAAGGTAACCCAGCTAATATCAACTCTGGTAACCACCATCCACCCAAACTCAACCACGTGCAAAGCAGTGGTATTATCCCTTCACCGTCTTCCTTCACCATAGGTCTTCTGGTTTATGCCCACTTGCCACCGCAGCAAAGATTATCAAAACCCTAATATACCCTGGGTTCTTAGCTTCAAATTCAGTGCCCTTCTTTCCAGACCAGAGACGCGTGGTAAACTCTGAAGTGGGTGGCAAATGTTATTTATAGACTAAGAACGACAAGCAAAACAGGTAGAAAGAAAAAGAAAAACAGCTGCTCTTTAAATATGTGAGTTTAACAAAAAGCATCTGAGTAATTTGGATGTTATGTGGGCACTCTCATAAATGTCCTCCCAGAGATCTTCTCCCTTCCATACATACATAATCACAAACCTTTTAAGTGGAATTAGGTGGACCCCGGTCGCACTGAACCCTCCTCAAATTGTCATGTTGGTATAAAAGACAAAAAACCACCCCAATGTCCTTGTCAGAACCCAGGCCCCCAGCCTTCCAAAATGATGGGTACTCACCCCAGCCATTTGGATAGAGGAGGTTAACTCTGAGGTGTTCTTAAACGTGTTGTTTAAACCCCCAAATTTCCCCGCCCCCAAAACCACAAGCTTTCTCTTTTGGGGCAAAAGGATGCCATTTAAGGAAAAAGGGTATACCCTCCCAAGTGTGTGTGTGTGTGTGTGTGTGTGTGTGTGTGTGTGTGTGTGTGGTGGGGGTAGGGAGGGACGCTAGTGAAATCTTTTGGGTGTCAAGACTCTTCTACCGGATTTCCTCCAAAGGTTTCCCAGTTGTTGAACAAAGGTGGCCAATGGGGTGTCGGATATCAGGGTCCATCCGCCCCCACCTTCATCAGCAGCTCTCCATGAGGCCCGAAATAGTCCCACCAAGCGCCGCAGGCCGGCTCCCGGCTTTCTCTCGCCGGCACCCACGTGTCTCTATTTACTCTTCTCGGGTTACCAGCGCTATCGCCCCCACCGGGCTAGGAGATCTGATAAAGTGCCTTTCACCCTCCCCTGCGTGGTGGCCTAGCTTCCGCCGCATCTTCACTTAGACTCGCCTTTCTTCTGCAATAGCTTTCAGCCCTGATCCAGGCCCAAACCAACCCCCTAAACTTTTTTTCTTTTAAGTGATAAGAGTTAGAGAAAACTAGTTTTGCGGGCAGTACGGCCGGTCCTGCCCAGAGCCGCCCTGGGCTCCAGCCTCCAGGGCGGCAGGGACAGGGAGCCGCCCCACCCCCGCGCGACCCCCGGTCGGCCGCTCGGCAGCGGTTGGGACGGCTCCGCCTGCCCCCAGCCCACGCCCGCCCCCTTTCCTCTCCCGGGGCCGGTATCCACCTAAGCTTTTTGGTGGTTTAACGCACTTCTGCAGAGGTATCTACCCAGAGAGATAGCGGCTGCACTTTGTTTTCCGTCCTACGGAAGAACTTTTCAGCTGTGGTGTTGAGGCATCTTCGCTCTAATTCTCCGTACTTCCCTCCACCTCATAGAAAAGTCCGGAGGTGAAACATTAGGGGTTAAGAGCAGCTTTTCCTGCCCGCAAACCAACAGCTTAACCACCGAACCTCTAAACGGATCCATTTGGTAAAAGTTTCCCGGAAAGCTCTCTCCCCAATCCCAACATGTACACAAAAGGGAATGTTGATCCGGGGCCACCACCACCACCACCATATCCTAACCAAACACGGAGGCTACAGCGGGCCCGTCAGCCTCCGCTGCCCCGCGCCTTCGCCCCTCTCCCGCCTCTGATCTTCCACGGGACCCAGCTCCGCGTCGCAGGCATGGGTCAGCAGCCCGCTCACCTCGTGCCCGTTGCTAGCCGGGATGATTTCGGATTCATTGACCAAGGAGGACTTGATGTCGGCTAAATCTCCTTCCTCTTCGGGGTGACTGATCTCGGCGAAGATTTTCTCCTTCTGGGGGTCGCCCTCGTCCTTGAAGGGGATCATTTCGTCCGTAGCGCAGAGTTCCGGGTCCCCCCCGCCGCCGCCGCCTCCCCCGGAGAGCTGGGGCATCCCGACTTCTGTATAATCTCCGCTCTGCTGGGGGAGCACCCGCGGCGACAGCAGGAAAGGGGGGGGGGTGTCAACGAAAAGGGAGGAGGGAGGGAAAGAAGAGTTGGAAGGGTGCGTGAGGGAGGAGAGCGGGCGGAAGCGGGGCCGGCGAGTGCCGGGCCGCCAGCCGGCAGCGGGAGAAGCTGCGGCGACGCAAGAGACCGGGCGGCAGTCCGCGCCTTCCCGCTCTGCAAAGACCAACTCCGGCGCCCACCCCTGAGTCCGAAGGGCACGAGGCTGAGACGGGAGCCGCGGCTGACGGCGCCTCTGGGGGCGTCTGCGTGGTGCGCGCTAGCCTAGGCTGCCCGGGCCTGGGCTGCCACCCCACGCCCCCCGCGTCGCCGGAGTCTTGTGTGCGGAACACGCCTGTTCTGGCAGGGGATCGACTCGCCAAAGTACAGAGGAGGGTCGGTCAGCGCACTGCGGCGCAAACGTCTCCACTGTTTCTTCCAGAGATGCCGATTTGGGAGTTTGTTTTCCGTGAAAAGAGAGGGGAGGTGGGCAAAACAAAACAAACCAAAAACTCCGTTTGCCCCAGAGGAGAAAGCGCAGGGAGAATCAGAAGACAACGCAATGTCCACTTCCTGGAGGCTTAAAAAAAAAAGTAGGGGGGGGGGGCGGGACAGGGCAACTCGGATTGGAGGTGTCCGTTTTAGAGCTTCTTATTTCCTTCCTTTTCGCTTCGGTTTTTCTCCTCGAGACGTTTAATCTGCTGGAGAAGGAGGAGAAGGTGGCGGCGGAGTAGGAGGGGAAGAGAAAGAAGTTTGCCAAGAATAAAGTTTGTGCCGGCTTGCACTGGGATACGACAGTGGAGAGCGCAGCGGGGTCTCAGGGAGTCACGACTGGGGCCTCGGTTCCAAATGTTTCTGCCCAGAGTTGGAGCCAACACACATACACAGCCCGACCCCTCTTTGTTCCCGGCTCGAGTTTCTCAGCCTGGTTCGCAGGCTCTCTCTTTTGCCGCTCTCCACGCCTCCGCGGGGCCAGCTCTGTCAAAGCAAATAACTGCGCCCCTCGAGTTCGTTCCGCAGAGGGTCAGAGGAGGCTCGGATCTTGGCCGCTTACGGGGATCCGGGCGCGTCCCGGCTTCTCGGCTCCAGAGCGCGCAGCCCTGGTTCCTCCTCCGCGCCCTGCCCCGCAGGTGAGCGGCTGCTCCTTCTCACCGCTTCTCCTCCTCCCGCGCCTGACCGGCGCTGAAAAGCTACCCACATGCGTCGCTTCTCCTCCCCCTCCCCTCCCCCGCCTCCAGCTCTTCTTGGCTGCCCGCTGGGGGGCGGGGGGGTTGGGGGTGGGGGGGGAGGGAGGAGAAGGGAGGTGCGAGAAGGAGGTGGTGATTGAGGGCTTTTTTTTCTTTCTTTCTTTCTTTTCTTTTCCCAGAGCCTGTAGGACGAGTCCTAGTTTTAACGCGCGCGCGCGTGTGTGTGTGTGTGTGTGTGTGTGTGTGTATGTGTGTGTCTGGAGGGATGGATCAGGCAACTTGGCAAGGAAAGGAAGAATTGGTTGCTGCTTGTAACCCACTGAGAGACTCGCTTTGTCCGCGTGAAATTGACAACGTGTATTCGAGTGGCTTAACTTCATCATCTAAGTATCTCTTCGCTGCGTCACTCCCCCCCCCCAACTACTCCTCTTCCTCTGCCAATTTCTCCCCCATCTCCTTTCCGCCTTCCTCTCTCCCTCCCGCTTTCTGGCAGGGGGAGGAAGATGAAAGAGAAGCCGCCGCCGCAGTGATGGACACCACATTGATAGATGTTCTGACTGAGGGGGGATGAGGGGGAATCAGGGACAGAGAGAAGGAAAAAGGGAAAATATAACAGACATTGCTCAACTAATAAGGGAGAACGGAAGCAAGAAGGACAAGGAAAAGAGTTGTGGTTTATCACACATACGCTATTTGGAGACAAGGGAAGAGACGCCAGCGAAAATTAAATATTCAGGCTTACCAAGAAAAATAAGACGAGAAAGGAGGAACTGAAGACTGGTTCTTAAATATCGCTTTTTAAAAAACAATATCTTTCATATATTCTCGCCACAGGATACATGGAGTTAACGCTAGATCGCTCCTGGATTTTCGAAGATACAAGTCGAAGTGTGAGTGATCCTCTAAGGAAATGAAAAGGCAAGCAGGGGCAGAGAAGGCAAATGAACTAAGGAGAACGAATGTAGATGAAGAAGGACTGGGCAATCAATCCCTGGCACCTTGGACTGACTGCGCTTTCAAAGGGATTCTTGAAGATTCTATTCGAATCCAACCTCAAAAATTCTTCAATCTCCACCGTTTCTTTGATGCATTTTGTACAAGGGTCGTACTTTTAAGGAGATGCTTTGTGAAAGTTACAGTGCAAATAAGGCTGAAATTTGCAAACATTCTGCATTTTGTCTCTTAGCTCTCAACCTGGTCAGTTAAAAAGCCTGGCAAAATGATTATATCCAGTACAGTAGTCATCTGTAAACCCTCAGAACAGCAAACAGGGGTCGGGAAGAAATGTGTTTCCATCTCTCTTGAATTGAAAATGAGGAACACACTATGAGATTTGACGTTAACATAGGAATGTCCTTGCAAAGACCCTCTTCTTTTCCTAAGGGGACATTGCAGGTTGCTGGACATGATATACAATACTCTAAATGAGCACTTCAAACTTTACCCACTGGTTCTACTTCGTGGGGGTGGGAAATTTGCTGTGGAACCAGTTTTAAAACTATCTTTGAAAGCATTCAGTTGTTCCCATAGAGCATGTAAATTCTCTGAGGATTAGGGTAAAATTAAGGGGGCTGGAGATGTGAGCCAAGAAGAATAAAACATTAAATCCCCTTTAAATAACTGACAATGCTATGCCTTAGAGAAGAAAAACAAACAAATATTCAGCTACAGTGTGTCTGTAAGGTAATACTAAAAAGGTTGGAAAGCAACCCAATTATTCTTTTGGGTGGTGGTGGTATGCAACTTTTCTTGTTATGCATGAGTGTAGTGTAATTCCCTGGAGATATGAACATATAACTATGTCAGACATGTATACCCCCTGTTCTAAAAGAAATGTCGAAAGTCTTCCCACAACTGAGCCAATGTACGAATAGAAAAAGAACTAGGAAATAATTTCACCAAAGCAGCCAGAGTAGACGTTCTTTTTCATCAAACTGTACAGGATGGGGTGGCGTGAGCGAGCACACAGAATGACCAGAGGGTATTTTCTGGAAGCTGAGGAAAGATTAAATGAGGGCTCCCACATCCCCCTGTTTAAATGTTGCAACTAATTCGAATCCCATTTTCTCCTTCATGTTAATTGTTTGGACTCCTAGAGTCTTTTGGAGCTCAACTCCAGGTGTCCTGGAGATTAGGAGCTAAAGAAGATGAGAATTTGGGGGCACAATAACTAATGGATGAGGATTGGTGGCTGCATTTGGTATTATTTTGCCGTAACCTCCTTCTTTGGAAACACTGTTTCTAACGAAATCACCCCACGTCTGCCTTCTTTGGGTGATAGTTTATCCTCCCCGCGACGTGCGTGGTGTTGACTGATTTTTTTTTGCATTGTTGCAAATCTTCGGATGGACTGCAACTTAAAAGAGTCTTTGAGACCACAGAGTCAAAAATTATTAAAAATTTTGTCTAGGACCGAGTGGACATTTCCATGTCAAGTCTGTTTCCTCCAGGTCAAAAAGCAGGGGGACGCAAGAGGGGCGGGGTAATCACAGGAAGATGTTCCCTACAGATTTAGTGTCATCACTGTCTAGAGCACTTCTGTCTTCGGAAGGCCTCCTCTAATTCATGTGGGGACTGCTGTTAGCATGGACAGCCTCCTCCTCGGGTGCCGCGAGTGGGATCTCAAGGTCCGGGATGTGGTGGTTGTGGCGCGGGATAAACACTCCCCACTCGGATATAAAGACAGGTTGTTCGTGTGAACTCGAGCGAACAACTGGAGGTTGGCTGTTGCAGGTTCACTCCTTCAGGATGTGGGTTTCAGGAGGCGTTTTGATGTGATTTAATTCCGACCGTGAAACAATTGCTAGGGGCTGGCTGGATTGCTGTTGGTTTTTCCCCTCCTGGTGGCTTTGGTTGGTTGGTGTGGGTTTAGTTTGGAAGTGAACAGCGATTTGTTTTATATCAACACTTCCTTCTGCATTGGGCGCCGTCGCGAGCGCAGCGCGCGGTGTGTGTGGCGGGGGTGTGTGAGGCGCCCACCTGGAGACAGGACAGAGAAGGAGAGTGGAGACCGGCCTCGCAGTCCAAAGTAACCTAGACTCAGCCGCCCGGAGGTCCAGGGGAGCAGGATAATGACCCACATCCACACCAAAAGGCCCCTCCCCCCACCCTTGGCAATTTTGCTGCCAAGTCTGTTGACTACAGACACTCAAGTGAGTCCTTAATTACAGGGACTAGAGAAAAGCGCGGTATCCTTCAGAGTCTTCTCCGCCCCCTCAGTCCTAACCCCCCCGCCCAGGCTCCGGGTCGTCCCCTTTGTGTGGGCTGGAAATCCCTGCCAGACAGAACTTTGGTGGGATCCCAAAGGAAGGAGGTGGCGGGGTCCTACAGAAGAGGATGCTCCTCAAGAAACAAGGGAGGACTACAGAACAAATGTGATTCCAGAGGCGGAACTCGGGCACCTTCTATTAAACAGCCCCAGATTCACCAGGAGACTGGAGTCGTGGGCATCTTCAGATTAACGGATTTCTTGAGAAGGGAGAAAAGGGGGGCAAGGGAAATGGCAGTTTGTGTCCCAGGGGCTCTTCCGCCTCTTGCCTCCTCCAAATACAAACAAACTCAAACTTTCACCCGCCAGGGGAAAGGAGAACTCGTGGGGCCGTGAAAAGTGTCGTTCCCAAATCCGGCCGCCTGCTACCTCCCGGCTTCCGCAAGGCTGGTGCCCATTGGTGTGGGTAGCTCAGCACAGCCTCCCGCAACTGGAGCGAGAGGGGTCCGCCTACGCAGGGCACCGCACCGCCAGCCCCTCGCGCCTTCCCCTGGCGTCCTTCACGCTCGTGCGAGTGCAGGAAGAGCCTGGCATCCGCGCCTCGCTGGGGAGGTATTCTCCGAGTTACCGTCGAACGGACGGGGTCCTCCCACAATCACGAGAGGGGCCACATCCCACTTCATCCTGTGGGCTCGGCCGGCCAACCCGATGGGAGGGAGCCCAGCCGGGTGGCCGCGGGCCGGAACAAGAGAACCTAGGGCTAGGGGAGAGTGCAGAGGAATCTCTCTGAAAGAGCCCAGCAATGCGCTCTCATAGCTCGGTTCTGCTACGGCTGCATCCACTGATCCTCAGTGGAAAACTGAGCTCCTGGGATGGCCCCGCGATAGTTACACACAGCACGGAAGGCCCGGCATTATGATTTTAAGGATGCTTCCCAGAATGGAATTGGAATGAAGATGGGAGCTGGAATAGATCTGTGGGCCATAAAACGCCTGGCCTAGTGGACCCGACGTGCAGTTCTTATTTTCCTCCTTTCTGAAAACTTTCTCAGGCGCTTTAAGTTGGCGTGGGGACCGGTCTCTGGAATCTGGCAGCTAGCCCTAAGGAGGCGGCACACCCCTACTTTCCCTCCCTCCACGCGGGGTCCTCCATCGTCCTTCACCCTGCCCTCCCCACGGGCCGGGGACGCGCACCGAGCCAGCGGCTTGGACTAGGATCGCGCGCGCGCGCGCGCGCGCCGCGCCTTATATCCACCCAGGGCGGCGCCTGCGCAGGGCCGGGCTCGGCGGCGCGGCCTTTGAAGTCTCGGCGGCTGCCGCTTTCATCCTTTCTTTTTTCCCTTGCAGGCCCCTTTGTGTGACTAAATTTGGCAAGGATGTGGAGCCGAGCCAGTCTTTCCACGTGTGCTCCCAGCTCCCAGCTGAGAAGGCCAAGGGTTCTCTTCCGGGTAAGGAGACAGGGAGAAAGATCAAAAAGAGTTTGGGGAGCTGGATCTGAAATGTGAATTGAAAATAAAAATCAAGCCTGGACACATTCCAGTTTCTAAAGCAAAACCAACCCTCAGTAGAGGCCTTGTTGCTGTGGCTCTTCTCCCTCAGCTCTCTTTCATTCGCTCCCTTTCTTTACCGCAACTGTCCTTGAACACATGGAACAAAACGAAAAGAACATAGGGAAACAGTTTCTCCAGATTTTGTTTTGCAGTAATTTTATTAGAGACAAAATCTTGCTCATTAGGGAAAATCACAGTTATGTGAAGCCACATTTCTTCAGCCATAAGTATGTATTGTCT